GCTCCGTGCTCCGTGTGTCCCGGTTTCTGTTCTCTGTGTCTAATAAATCCTTTCGGAAGGATGCGGTGAGCGGCTGGGGGGGCGAGGGCGGCTGCACTGGTGGCGATGGGGGGTTCTGGGGGGGTCCCGGCTGTAGTCAGCCCTCGTGCCGTCCCGCACACACACGCGTGTACCCACACACGCACGCACACCCACACACGCGTGCAGGCTCCACTGATGGCCGCAGAGCCGCAGTCCCCAGCCCCGGCACACGCTCACGGGCAGACACGGACAGGGGGGATGTAGGTGGGTGTTGGAATCCTTGTGTGGGTGCATGTACACGTAGGTGTGTGTACATCCGTCTGTGTAACCTACACACGCGTGTGTATGCACCTCTGCAGACCGAGGGGTGCGTGTACGTACGCACAGAATCGCCATTTTCAGATACGTGCGTGCCCGTGTATCTTCGTATAAGCATACGTAAAGAGGGGTTGATCCGTAGGTGGAGCTGAAGCTGTAGGTGTTTAGGGACAGCTCTGTCTGTGCAGGTGTGTATACACACACATCTGTATTTTCATACACGTGTGTGTGTAATGTATTTGTAATTTTAATACATGTCTGTTCATGTGTACATGTATGCATGTGTCAGTGTATATATATAGGTATAGGTGCACAGGCACATATATACACGTAGGTATGGATGTATAGATCTGCCTTTATATTGCAGTATATACACATATATGTGTGTGTATATGTGTATATAGACATGAATATATGTATTTGTAATTTATATACACATATACATGTGTATTTTTACTTTTTATACATTTATACGTAAGTGTAGGTTAAATTGGTAGAGCTGAAGGTGTGTGGTTATAGCTACACATATACAGTGTGCACGTGTGTATACAGATACACATCTATTGGTAGTTTTATACATGTATGTATGTTTATATATGCATACAAACATCTGTGTAGTTCTATCGATGAAGGTATGTAGGTATGGGCAGAGATAAATCGACACATCTAAAGGGGGTGGGGGTGTGTGTGTACACGGAGGGATGCGTGAGGTCTCTGACGCGTTGTCTGTGCGAGACTGCGTGTGTGCGTGTGTCTGTACGCTCTGCGCCCCGCGTCCACACACATCCAGGCACGCACAGACGCACTCTGGCAGCTGTGTCTCCACACGCAGTGGACAAACACGCGCACACATACACACACGTCTATGCGCAGAGCTACGGGTTTGTAGCTAAATTTCTCATTTTTATACTTGGGTGTGCATGTGCATAGGGACACGTGTGTGTGTATGCGTGTGGGTACAGATGTGTATGGGTGTTGGCAGACAGGTGTGTTCCCGCAGGGAGCTGTCTATAGCGAGATCGAAACCACCAGCAGCGGGACCTCCGCGTGCGTCCAGGCGTGTGTTCACGCGTAGGCGTCCCTGCGAGTATAGAGATGGCTGCGTGTCGAGACAGACACACCTGCAGCTGGGTCTGTACGGACACACACCCGTACATCCACGCACGGACGTACATGGCTGTTTGCGGTGTGCGCAGGTGGCTGCGTACACACACGTACGGACGGAGCCACGGCAGCGTGTTCCCGTGGGCGAGAACGCGTCTGTCTGTCTGCATCTATGGGCAGGTATGTACAGCTGTACAGAATCCCAGCGTGGCAGGGGTTGGCAGGGACCTCTGTGGGTCCCCCAGCCCAACCCCCTGCCC